ATTTTTTTTAAATCCCTTTCCTTTAAAAAATTTTTCTTTTTTAAAAATTGCTGGGTTTTTGGGCAGTTTTGGTGAGAAACCCCCTTTTGGGCCGTTGTTAGGACTGTTAAAGGAAATTTTGTTTTTTAGACCGGTGGTTTTTACCATTATTTACTGATCTTACATCAAAAAAAAAAAACCCTTACTTTAGTTTTATTTAAGTATTTACCTTGGGAAAACCCCAAGCCCTTAAATGAATAAAAAAGTTTAAAATTTTTTTTGAAGTTCTTTTTGTGATTCCCCCGAGGGCCCTTTCACCCGCAAATAATAAAAAAATCAATAAATCATAAAATTGTAAAAACCCCATTTTTCAAGGGTTGTTTTTTGAAAAAATTTCCCAAAAACCCCCAAACAAAGAGAAAAAAAAAAATTGGGGGAAATTTACCCCCTTTTAAAGTGGGCCCAAATGGCAAAATTAAAAATAATCGGGAATAACTAGAACTGACTTAACACTGTTTTTACATTTTTTTTAATATCTTAATTATTTTAAAATTTTCCCTTTGGTACCTTTTTTATACATTTTAAACCCTAGTCCCGTTTCTTTTAAATATTTTCAAAACATTTACAAATGAACAAAAACTACTTTAAAAAACGTTTTTTTGTTTTTAAATTTTATTTTTTGGATTAAAAGACAAAGAAAAAATATAACATCCTTTTTTAAGAACCCCCTTTTTCAAAAAACCAAAATTGGGGGCATCAGTTAAAATTTTTATTTCCGAAAAAGTTTTTTTTCTATTTTTTAAGGCCAGTGATAAAAAATTTTGAAGACGGGTAACTAATGTTGGGGGCCTCTAAAATTTTTAACTCACCCAGTAAAAACCCTTTTATGCAAAGGTATAATAATTCCCTCAGTCCATTTCTCTGGAATATACGAAAACCCGAATTTAAAATAGCATTAAATATATCACACATGCGCACCTATTATATCAAAACCTTCTATGAAATATTCATACCCCTTTTCAATAATTTAACAGCTTTTGAAATTTTCCTCTAAAGTTATTGGTTTATCTAATTCTTCAAATGGAGTATTCAAAGTCATTAAAAGAATGGCTTTCACAAAAATTTTCCGCATCAATATTTGTACAGTTAAATAAATCCACTACTTATGCTCTCAAAATATTCCTTAAATACATGTACAGGGATACCGTTATGTTTTGAACTGGATTTACTCTTAAAATAATCTCCAAAATTTGTTTCGGATTACTATGCTTTAAATTTTCTAATTCAGACATTTTTTTATTGTAAAAATGTTTTTTTCTTTCTGCGCACAATATCTTATATTTCTTTTTTACAATTACATAAATATTATTCTGTTTGAATCATTTAGTACATGTATTAAAAACCCGTAAGGCTTCCAAGTATGTATTTCTTGCATTAATTGCATTCTCTGTCAAACCATTCAGAGTTATCTAATACTGATTTTATCACTAAAATTGGGAACATGGTGTTAAATTTACAAACATTTTTCCAAATAAAGGGTCCGCTACGCTACGAATAACAGAAGTGAAGTCATTTAATACACTATTTATAGAGTCTCTGTTTGAAAAATTAATATCATCAATTATAGTATTTAGCTCAGGCAATTTAGCTATCAGACCGCTACGAAAATTATTGGTGTGTATACTATCCCATTTAAAAATAATCTCTGAAAAACAATCAGGTTTATTTACATTATTATTACAAAATAAAGAATCAAAGGGCTGCAAGCTCTGTGGTATTTTCTGATCTTTGCAATCTAAATCGTACTGTATATCTGTATGTGTTTTCCTGTATAAGTTTATTTTTGGCGTCCGCGCTCTTATGGAATGAAATCAGATTTTGTGAAAGGGCGACAGCAACTTCTCGAGCCTTTAAATCGGACATAATAAAAGCCGATCATTCCGATCAGTATGAGGGTGCTTGATTATTAATTAAAAATGAAATGTCGCGATATATACAGTGAATAGCGAACTGAAAAATTTCGCAATGCAAACATTTTCAAATGAAATAACCTTTTCCGTCAATACATCGCGCTCTTCGGGGTATTTTTATTTATCATTTTGTAGTACAGAGTGGGTTATTATGGTACATGTATCCGAAAGCTGAATAGAATGATGAGTTGATGACCTAAATATTCCGAAAATCTATTTATAGAGGGATGTACTCCTATCGGTAATTCCCGGTCTCTCCTGGTCTATTTTGACCGGAATTTACTAGTGACCGGCGAATAGTACCACACGTTTATTGTCCGGTCTCTCCCGGTTTTGGAGTAGATGAGTAGATGTTTGATATCGTTACAGAACAGAACAAATGTTTAACAGTGATATAAGTTTTTTTTTTCAAAATGAATGTTTGTCACTTAGTTTGGTTACAATAATTGATAAACACAGATCAACTCTCAAATTTATTGATTATTATTATACATAAACATACAATTCGAAAAAAAAAACCCAACAACAATAGCATGTTTTATTTTATCTTTATGAGATAAAAACAATAAATATGTACAATAATTGAGAAAAAGGTACATTTTTATGGTATTAATATGACACTATCAACTTTGAAACATTTTATTTAATTTGTTATTCGTGTTTAGTAAAGATGCCGAGGAATTATTCAAAGTTACAAATTAGATTTTATGAATTATTCAATTGATTGATAATTTTAAAAAATGATAAAGAAAAATACAAATGTACATGTATATGGTTTAAGAATAAACACTATTATATATTGAAAGATTAACCATAATTTACTGACTTTTTGCAGTTAAGTTTTTACTTATAATCGTCGGTCAATATGACAATTGAATTCTTAAAATAATAGTAAAGGTAAAAACTCAGTATTAAAATAGCACATAAAACACAAAAAAGAAAAGAAAACAATATTTATAAAATCTGTATTTTTTTATTAAAATAGATATTACAATTATTGTATAATAAACAATTATGCTCAACATGATCAACATGGTAATGTAACCAGTGTCATATTGAGAGGGGGTCTTCGCTAATAGCGATAACATAATAAGGGACAATTACACAAGTGTGGTGTTGATCATGCATTACACATATGGATTATAAATGATTGTATACATGTGTATCCGTTGCTTTTAATAACCACGATCATAAAGAAATAACAAGTAATATTCTAAATCTCTAGCATGCCAATCAAAGTTAATAATGACTTTCGTCCGTTCATTCATAAGTTGATAAACAATTCTGGTAAAAACCAATTTAACCATTCATATATCTACTAGTTCATCTTCACCTGCTGCATTTCTTGCTTGGACGCCCTTTGATGTTTTTGCATCAATGCTTTTCTTGTTATGTACTATAATTCATCTTGCAGGGCACCAGAGTTTTGATACATACGCGGAATTTTGCATAACTAGAGTTGCATCAAAAAATCATTTATGATTATTTTTTATGATAGCCACACTTTATCCTTGCATATCGTGGCTATTTCCTTAACAAAGACAATAAAAAAGAATTAAAAAAAATGTTGACTCGACTGCCTGGGATTTGAACTCCAGACCTCTCACACACTAAACGAATGCGTTACCCCTGCACCACGGAGAAGTTATAAAAAGTTATAAAGGGCTGAATAAAATCAAGTCATTCTAAATTTAGAATTTCCATTGCATTTCGGGTTTTTTAAAGCAGAACAGGCTGAATAAAATCAAGTCATTCTAAATTTAGAATTTCCATTGCATTTCGGGTTAGGGTAATTTCGAGGTATTTTGTTCAGGGTAAACCTGTTGTTTAAAATTGAAGTAAATAAATTTAGCAAAAATCTTCTCGCCCAAATGCCAACATGTAGAAACTATATATTCAAACTACTCGGCAGTCAGATTTATTTGTGTAGTTATTCGGTAATCGACATCGCTAAAAAATAGCATTTTCATTGATTAAAAATCATATTCATCCGCGTAATTTGTGAGTGTGCATTTATTGACAATTCTATAAGCCAACGCTACTTTTAAAGTTTGAATGTGTAGTAATTTGTTGGACACTTGTAACAAAAAATTGTTCTTTCTTTTAAATTGCTGGTTTTAAGCAGTTTTGAGTGAGAACTACTATGCGTTGTTAGGCCTGTTAGGAAATTTTTGTGTTAGACCGTGGATGTTAGCTATGTATTTACTGATCTGCGATCAGAAAATACAAAAACGCAAAGGCGCATGGTCACTCCATTCATTAATAGAATTATAGTAAAATTGTCCACCAATGAAAAGTTACGTTCATTGGTCAGCAAATAATCAATAACCGATGCGCCTCTAGGAGAAACATAGGTGTATTTACAAGTGTCGCCTTATCTACCGTTAAGAATACGTAAACATGAAGATTTACAAAGATCAAGAAGTTTAACACCGTGACTGTTATTTACATTATCAATTGAGGCCCGTAATAGGCTCATATCAGGTGTATAGTCAACGTCATCTGTGTATGAATTTAATTTAAAAAATCATTAACAATAAAATCATTCTTTTTACCAATTCTACTGTTAAAATCTCCAGTGACAAATACATCACCTTTTTGTTCATAATTATATAAATATATCATTTTCTAAAAGATCAAATAAGTCAGTATTAATAACGTTATATGCAGGAGAGTTTTCAACCCATATATAAGCACCACAAATATAAATATCATTTTTAGTCTTAAAAAAAAAATATGATCAAGTTTAAGCCATATTATAGTATCGTAATGATTTTTTACTATTTAAATGCCGTTTTTTAAACTATCTCTATAATATAAAGCTATACCACCACTAGATCGTTTGGCATTACGGTGTTTAAATTTTCTATAAAAAATATGTACAATATAATCATTTATTTCAATATCACTGGTAGAACATGCCCAAGTTTTATATAAAAAACAAACATCACTATTGGAAATAATATTTACAAAAGCATCATTGTCTTTTTTGTCAGCAGATAGTCCATTTACATTCCAAGAAAGAATGTTAAGTTTACCCTCCGCGCAATCCTATTCTCTGACGGCCTTGCCATTCACATACAACGTATCGTAAGCGATACATGCCCTATCCCCTTTGTTCCTATGCTCTTTCATCTTAGGTACCAAGCGTCTCCTCTTCTCTATCACCTCTTTCGGAAATTGTTCAAACATGTTAAACTGTGTTCCCTGTAGCTGCTTCCATTGCCTACGAACGAATTCCCTATCTTTAAATAAAACAAATTTAGCCACAATGTTCCTAGGTTTTCCTCTACTTCTCTCCCCTATCCTATGTACACGTTCGAATTTCATATCTGCCACTAAATCTTGCGCTACTTTAAGTTTATCTACTAAATAGCTTCTTAACAACCTTTCTGTCTTATGCTGGTCTTCATCATCTGCCTCAGTAATATTAGTAAATATCAAATTGTTTCTCATAGATTGACTAGTCAAATAGATTACCTCATTCTTCAAACTATCCCGCTCTTTCTCAAATTGGATCACTTTGCTCTCTAACTGTGCAACGCTAAAATCTGAGCATTCAACTTTCTCCTCCACACATGAGAGCCTGACATCAAGCTTCTTATTTCTATCCTCCATTGCATTCCATAACTTTTTAACTCCCGATCAAATCCATCAACTTTCTTTTCTAACACAGATAAAGAGTCAAGCCTCTTCTCCACGTCACCTATTCTCCCATTAATTTTCTCCAAATAAGCTAGTACAAATGTATATCATCGTTAGTGGGGCTCTCCTTCGGCCGACCGGTGGCTTGCTTGACATTTCCGATCCCGGACAAGGTCCACCAAACACACTTCCTACATTGTCACTTGTACAATATAAAACAGAATTTGTCTCATTTAAGATTTCGCTCAAGGAAATTTCCGACTCCTCTGACGGGCCTCTTGGTTTGAAAATCTTACTGTTTTTCTCTTTTTCACAAATATTTCCACTACTTTGTCTGTTTTTACGTTTATTTCCCATTCAGAATTAATTAGTCCCTCGTATGACACATAATGATCTAAAACGTATCCATAAATATGATATATAAATCCTTTATTTTATAAATAAATCTCTCGTCACAAAAACACGACCGGCGCCATACATATCACGTGATCAATCATCAATAATAACATTATTACATAAAACATTTTCACAAAATACATCAAAACTTATCTGTATAGGCGCATGGGTTGAGCATCGTGAACAATAAATTCAGAAATCTTATGTTATAATGTTATGATATGTGCGTTATACGATTATATAATGAAACAATACACACCAAAACGTAAATATTTGTGGCGCAAAAACGGTTTCTTCATTTATTTAGTTTTATATGAAAATTAAGTTTATGTAGCATCGTATTTATCTACTTAAATCAAGTCAAATTTTAATCAATACTTTAAATTACCAGACAATAAAACGGAATTCAATGACTACAAAATTTTTAATTAGATTAGAAAATGTATTCTTCATTCATGCTATAAATCTATCAGATTTAGATTAAGATTCTTTAAGACGATGTAAATCGTTATTTATTTCGTATATTGTTAAAATCAGTATTTAATTTTTACCGCATTGTAATCTATTTAAAAGTTTAAAAAACATAATTAAAACGTTTATATAATTGCTAAAATATCATCGAAAAGTATAGTAGTTCAGTATGATCATTGATACCTTATAAGACTCTATTCAAGAGCGATTTCACTATTCTGTATAACAAACAACAATTAATATCAAATTTGACCAATTTTTCATCCATATTTATTCTTCATATTAATGTAACACTTTTATTTTATTCAAATTTGACATAATGATTACGGGTCTTTGTATAAATTTGCCGGTACAAAAAATTTATTTTCTATACATGAACATTTAATCAACATCCTAAATAACCCCCTTTGTCATTATTATAATGCACGTTTAATATAAATAATCTAACTAACAATACACCTTTGTTCGTATTCTTATTCCATTTGTTATAAAACCCGTCTTATTAGATTAATTATATAATACACACTGCATGTACTTGATTACGTATCATACCAACAGTAGATTGCGTAATGCAATTGAAACTGTAATCCAAAATAATCTCGCGCATGCGCAGTAAGTGGGGCCAATCCGTTATCTACAGACATTTTTACAATACGATTTTCCTTAGCAACGAATGTTGCATTTCGCGCATGCGCATTCTGCGTAGGGCAAAAACGCAATGGCGATGTCTACAGTTTATCATACTTTAAGGCTTTAATAGATGCGATTTCATGTTATGTCACCCAAAAAATATTAATTTTGGGATGTCTTAAGGCGGTAAGTACTGAAAACGTGAATTTATTTTTTAACAGATCTACGAAAATGTGCAGGACTAATAATTCAATGGTCAAAAAAGGGCACACACATGTCGTTTGTTTAAGGTATCATTAGACGACTTTTCCATCAGTAATTTAAATTGAAAAAGCAGGGTGTTAAGGATAAAATTTTATTACCCCTGTATTACATAATATTACACAATTTGTATTGTACACTTCCTTTGAATAACTGGATATGTCTGGCGGCAAGTGGCAAACAGATTGGCACACAAACGGTTGTTCATTCAACCGGGGCGTTTAAAAACCATGATGTAGTTAATCCGTTACGCTTTTTAAAATGGTAATTTATGTAACTTTTAGATATACCGATCAATGTTTATGGATTTTGAGGAAAGAAAAATTGTGTGACGTGCATTATTAAAAATAACATGTATTACGAAGAAGCGGATAACATGTGTGTTATATCTCTTCCAAACAATCCATCTTAACTTCTCAAGATTTTGAAAAAAAGTAATTATTTATAATCTATTTATGTGACTTCAATTTTTTCTGTTTACATCACCGGCAAATCGGATAAAGGATATAACCAGGTATATAAAACACTAAAAATGCATTTTCACCTATTTTGATATTTTTTTCAGAATGATAATTAATCTCGATTTCATGTTATAAAATTTCTTTTGTTTTTATATGAACTATTTCAACAGCAAATAAGTTGACTTTTCATTTGCTAATAGATACATTTTCACATCTTCTTTAAAAAATGATCTCAGTGTCAGGTCCGTGATCGTAAATTCTTAAACAAGTATCTTTTCCATGCCTTTTTATGGCATTCTTCGCCACAAGGCTATAAAGTCATCTTTTCTATATTTGTTAAAAACTATTTTATATAATTTTCTATCGTTTACCTTGAACTAACTTGGAATTGTCTATGAACTTCTACTATATTTCTATGTAGGGCCACAGATTTGTATTACAAGGATCGGACACTATCGTTTAGCTTAAAATCGCACCGCGCGCATGCGCGGAATCGCACATCGGATAAAGGATAATCATTTTCTTATTACACATACCATGGACTGTAGTTAAAGACCGCGCACATACAAAATATACATTCAAATTCTATTTGTTTTTGAAGATTGAGTGTTGCAATTATCACATGTAACCTGGTAATGAAAGTTTAAAAATAAAGTGTTTCAATTATCACTTGTTACCTGTTAGTAATTAGCCCCCTTCAAAAGTAATTAAACTTCAAAGAAATTTGAAGCGATGTGTAAAAAAATCAACAGGTACTTTTATTTCGCAAAATAATGACTCAAAGTGTAAAGATTTTTTATTCTTTTCTAGCGTTACATTAAAGAAAATATCAGAAATATTTTTCTACAGGCATTCAAATTAATTAAAAGAATAATTAAAATATACGAGTGATATTAAAAAGGCCGGAATCGAGACAGCCACACTGGAGTACTTTGCTGTTTTTATGATTGTCTACTTCACTGCACCGACATTTGAAAACAGATGTACAAAAAAACTAATAATGATATAAATGATAAAGGAAATTTAATAATTCTATGAAAATGGCAATATTGATAATATCAGCATCATTTTGTATTAAAAAGATGAATAAATTTACATCACATGTTGAGCGAAATTGAAAACAATTGTGCGTCAATTAATTTGACTAAATAACCCAATCAATCTTAAATATTGCATCTTTGATCATCTGTAAATAACTTACATCGGCTTATTTTTTATTTTGAAATTGAATTCATTATTTTGCCGTTATAATAAATTTCAAATACCTGCTTTTTATATAAAAAATGTAAATTTACCGCGGATCTCGTCAAGTTAATTATTTAATCGTCGTTGCGGACAGATATTCTGTATATATCTTTAAAAAAATAAATTAGATATTTGAATTAAACAAGTATTTTTCTTGAAAATAAACTTTAAATTTCCAAAAATCGGATAATAAATGGAAAAGGTATATGGTATTTTGTAAAGTAGGTATCCGTTGCGAACGGGCATTTTCGCTTAGCGCCGGTAAATAATCGATCGATGTACCTTTATCGGGTGCGCGACAATATATTGAAGCATTTATATAGGGTTAACTTGGAGTGTCCGATCCCTGTAATATAAATTCGTGGAAGGGCAAAGCATTTTTTGCCTTAAGCAGATTGCGCATGCGCGAGGAAATATTAATTCCGGTCGATTTTTCATAGCAACGGACCGCGTCGTAAAAAGGTCTCGCAGCCATAGTAAGGGTTTTCTTCCACATGTATTTAAAAAATCCATTTCAAATTCATAAGATGATGCAATTTTAGTGCCCATAGCAAGTCAGTAAACACTTATATAAATGTTCAGGCGGTAAATTTAGCATTTTCCTTCTTTATAAAAATTAATATTAAACGAAAATGACTATTTTAGTGAAAAAAAGAAATACTTCTAATGACCACTAGATGCTCTTATGATAATGTCTGTTTTATAAGTCATTTATATATAAGCACATTATATTTATTACAATTTCTTCATTATTAATTATAAAAGGTCCGCTTGCGTTTTTATTCAGTCATATTGTTCGTTCATTAACCAATATTTATTCAGTAAAATTTTTTAATTACCTTACAATTTGTGGCCATAAAAAAAAATAACATGTGAACTTTATTACCTCCCTTTAATAAATGTCATTAATATTCACTGCCAGATTTTACGGATCATGCTAAATGTACGCAATATTATTGCGAGCTCGAAGAGCTGGCCTGAAGGGCCTGCTGGAAAAGCGAGCTTTACGGTAACGCGAGTACCTGCTAGAAAGTGGTGGTTTTGAAACCTTTCGTCCGAAGTACCGAATCGACACATCGCAACTGTTCGAGTTTCAAGATAACGATAAAAGCCGAGGTATTCTGATTGAAAAAGGAAGCGTAGACTGGTCCTGTGCACTTATATGTGAACCATAATACGACACGGAACCAGAATAAACGGAAGCAGTGTATAAAATACCGAATGACAATTTTTAAACGGAAAATGTAAAATAAATTTTTATATCATTTCACGGTAAAAGAAAATTGAGCTCGCTTTGAGGCTTAGTTTTATGGTAAAAATTAACATATTGTGTATGCCGAGAAATAAATTAATATCTAATCTTTCCGCTTTTTTTCATGACGTTACGTCATTTGTTTATATGTTTATTGAAGAAATAGTATATCCCAAACAGTGATTTTATCGCTCAATAACACGGTAGGGAATCACGTGACTTTAACGGTAACGCGTACAGACAATATGGCGGCCTAAACACCTCGCTACACATGTGTTTTTCAGGTAAAATAGAGTGAAATAAGAATCCCTAAAGAAATCCCAACGCGGCAAAATTGAAAATGTTGCAGGCTCGGGTTGATTGAGCCTGTTCATGGACGGTACTGTCAAGTGCAAACTACCGTCCACGCCCCCTAGCACCGGCTTAAGCAGAATTCAACATTTAAACATGGTGAATTTAAGAATTTTGAAACATCCGCAGATGTGTCCATATGGCGGTTATCATGGAAGCTTCAATGTGACACGTTAGTGCCATTCCATGAAAAACGGCATATGGTCCCCAAGTA